GTTAACTTAAACCATAAATAAATGTGATTTAAAATGTTTTCGAATATAAAATATTTACTTATATAAATTAATCGAGGAATTCTTACCTTTAATGATATTATATTATTTAATTTAAGATATCTCAAAATTTTACAATTTTAAAGAATTATATTTAATTTAAACCATAAAGTATCATTAAAAAAGCTATAACATGAGTCAATTTATACATAGTTCATCTTGTTAAGGTGTACAATGAGTTCGAGTTCCCACCCTCACATATTATACTAAAAATGACTAGSACATAAATTATGTAAATTAATTTTAGAATTAGCACCTTTAATGAATATCAAATATATTTGATTAGATTTAAATGAATTTACAACTCTTGCCATTTATAATTAATTAGTTGTGTGTTAATTAAATTTAAATCTTCAAAAAAGATTGTCTTATTGATTAGCCATTTATCATAACTCACTAAGATTAATATTAACGAGTATTAAAAGTTTTCTTTTAAATGATAACTATTAAAAGAAAATCTTCAAAAAAGATTGTCCTATTGATTAGCCATTTATTATAACTCACTAAGATTAATATTAACAGTACTAAAAGATTTCTTTTAAACGATAAGTATTAAAAGTTTGAATATGTAAAAAGAGAAAGTTTTAGTGTGAATTCAATGATGGATTTTTTTACTTACCTCGGTAGGGGGAGATTCTTCCTCTTTTATTGGTGATGGGGCTAGCCAAGGAGATGATCTGTCGTGGGAGATTGCGGGTCCTACCTATGTATGACCCCTAGTGGGTCGTTTGCCCATACAATCCCACTACAACCTTTGGGCTTCCAGACGCGTCGTGAGATTATCGGTACGTCTTTGTCAGATCATCTTTGCTACCTCCATTGGTCGTCACTCTATAGTAGAGTTGGTCTCCATTGCCATGTGGGGCTCTTGCATCTCTATTCTCACTATTACGAGAAGACACAGCTAGACCCGACATGCGAGCTACATCATAGGCCTAAGACATGACCAGATCTAAGGTATGACCAAGCCCAAGGCATGACCAGATCCAAGGCATGACTAGGGCATGACCAGATCCAGGGCCCCGTGAGATCCCGACCGACTAGGTGCAGGCCTACCAAGTCTGGCTGGCCGACTAGGTCCAACCGACCAAATCCGACTAGACAAGATCCAAGGCATGACCAGAGCCAGGGTATGACCAAATTCAGGGCCCGGCGAGATCCCAGTCGATCAGGCCTCGGTCGACCAGGTCAAGCCGACAAGACCCGACTACTCGAAAGTCTAGTGCAGGCTACCGGTCAATTAATTCAACATTCGGCCCACAAGATACCCACAACCCAGCAAGGTATGTTTCCTAAAGGCATCATGATTTGACCTCTATAAATATAAAAATAAGGTGAACCCTAAAGGTACGCTGAAATACCCTACTCGACTACTCCGATTCTGACTTAAGCATCAGAGCCTGTGTGGCCGATACTCAGTGCTATTTGGTTTTGCAAGTTTCGTCGATCCTTTTTATTCTAGAAGATTTGTGCGAATTTGGCGGAATCCCAAGAGGCCAAATTATTCCAATTGACCAGACCCGACTATTGGAAAGTCTAGTGCAGGCTATCGATCCCTTAATTCAACATTCGGCCCACAACTCAGTAAGGTATGTTTCCTAAGGGCATCAGAATTTGACCTATATAAATATAACAGTAAGTTGAATCCTAAAGGTATGCTGAAATACCCTACTCTTCATACTCGACTACTCTGATTCTGACTTAAGCATCGGAGCTTATGTGGCAAGAGCCACACCGGTACATAGTGCTATTTGGTTTTGCAAGTTTCGTCGATCTCTTTTATTCTTGAATATTGGTGTGAATTTGGCAGAATCTCAGGAGGTCAAATTTCTACATCAACAATTGACCCGTCTGTGGGGACGACTAGGATCTAAAAGCCAAAATGATCGACACAAATCCTGAAGAGAGTCAGTAGCAGATCAACGATAAATGCCATTTGAGGAGGAAGATGAACTGATAACTGCTTGGACCCGAGGAGGTCTATCGTAAAGCGAGTCGATAAGTTTTGGGGTAGGACTTAGAAGAACGAATCGACAAGTTATAGGACAGATCCTAGGTGAAACAAATCGACAAATTCCCAAACAGAGAGAACGAACAGTCGAGGACCAAAAACATTGAAGGAACGACTCGTATTAGGGGAGTGCTACTGCCCTACCTTAGAGGACAAAGTGGCAAACATCTTTTTCTCGAACTTCCTTTTCCGTAACAACTTTTAGTATTCTTTTTAAATATAATTGATTATAGGGTACCTAGGGTAGATCTTCTCTCCTCCTGATAATTGCATGTAAATTAGACTTCATATCTCTACAATATGTCTATTATTTGTTCAAATGATGAGTTTGATTATATATCTTTCTCGATTACTCGAGCAGGTATCATGATGACTGGTTAAGGAACTCGAATTGGGACAGAGCATAAGCAAGCCAATAATTAAAAACCCAGTCAGTGAAACTTGGGAAGATCAGTGGCGGATTAAGCCTAAATGATAAAAAAATCCCCCAAAGGTACTGAAAAAGGCATGCGTACGAGCCTAGCACGGTTAAAACAAAAAGTGGCAAATGAGCCAAAACAATCAACAAAACCCAGGGTATAAAACCATTGGTGAAAAGCCAAAACAAGTTACAAACCCGAGGGTGTTGATTAAATTCATAGTATAAAACACTGGGTAAAAGCCAAATAGGTTATAAACCCAAAGGTATTGATTAAACCGAGGGTGTAAAAGCATAGGCAAAAGCCAAATAGGTTAGAAACCCAAGGGTGGTAAAGGCAACTCAGCTAAGTTTAATCCCAAGGCCAACGAAAAACTAACGGTTAAATTAAATCGGGTAGTAGTGCCCAAGAGACTTGACTAGTACAATAATAAAGCGACGAAACTAAGAGATTGACAAACTTTGAAGTTGTTTATTCTCGACGATTAAAAGCTAGCTTCGACAAAAGAACTGAGCAACAAATACAAAAAATACTCTCAAAGCATAATGCACAATTTGAAAAATACTTATACTTTAAGAGTGAGGGCTTATGTTATAGAGAATGTGGTTGGGCCAAAAAAACGAGACACAAGCCTACAAACAAGGGGAAAGCGAGGGGGCCCAAGTGAGAGAAGAGCAAAGACCTAGAGGCCTAAATAACGAACTGCGCCTAGCCAACAAAGAACCGATACCCGACCGACCAGGTCTCGACCAACCAACGACTAGGTCTCAGCGACTGGATTTTCGACCTCCACCACCTCGTATTCGTTTCTTGAAGGTGAACGATGAGATGTTTGTGATGAGATGAGAACATGTCATGCCATTGACTCGATGTCTCCACTGGATAACAACTTAACCACCAGTAGAATGTGAACATCTCACGCCATGTGGTCAGATCGTGCAACCAATTTAGTGTTTCCAGTGAATGACAATTCGATCGATGGAGAGGAGAAGGTCGACCCAAGCCTCAGTTACATGGAGTCACCCACTTTAGGAAGAGAGAACCCCGCTGAAGATCAGAAATYCATCTCTCTTACATTTGAAGAGCGACGAATCAACATCGAAACCAAGCCGGGAGTTGAGGAGAGAGCGAGTCTCATCAATTTTCTCAAAAGCAACTGATGTGTTTGTATGATCACACGAAGGCATGTCTGGGATCAATCGAGACTTAAACCAGTAAGGTAGAAGCATCAACCCTTCAACTAAGCAAAGAATGAAGTTATGACCAAGCAAGTAGAAGAGTTATTGAAAACTAATTACGAAAAACGATATCAATTATGAGGGCTGTTCCATAAAAATGGTCGGCCCATGAACAACGAGGTCTTATAAAACAAAACAAGTTTTCTCAATATAGAAGTCTAGTATTTTATCTATACTTATTGCCTTCTATTTTGAGAGTGGAGCTACTGTTGTGGGAAGACAAAGTTAGACTCAACAGGCAAGTTACATCACAGGCCCAACGCATGACTAGATTTAGGGCATGACAAAACCTGAGGCATGACCAAACCCGGGGCATGACTAGATCCAGGCCATGACCAAGCTCGAGGCGTGACCGGGGCCGAG